TGTAAAGGCAAGTCTGTGTCTAGCCAAATCTCCCATTTTATGTATGACAGGGTAGGTTCTCTGGCCCTTTTACTGAAGAAACTCTGCATTCCACTCCTTCCTTCAATGCCATGGTTGAACAGATTATCAATATAACAAGAAATAAGCTCATTTGTCATGTAGGTAACAAGTTCTCACATTAAAGACCACGCGGTTCTGGGCAATGCATAATCCCTTCAGCGAGCAGGCAGTGTCCAAGAGCTATCTGTGTGTTATCTAGGGATCACAGTCCTCAACTTGGTCAGATAAGATGCTGAACAGTGCACTCTTCTTTCCCAGCCCTTGTAGAGGGGTAAAACCACCTGGATTGTTATGGTTGATACATTGTGTCAACTTGGGGAGTCTAGAGGTCTGGCTAAGTCAGCAGGGAGCCAGAGTGCTTACTTTGTATGCATCCTGAGCCTGTGGAAGAGGAGGGCATGGAGATTATGTGAGTGCTACACCTCCCTGGGTGGGGGTAGCCTGTTTACAATGTAAGGGAGGGGAAGAGGCTGCTTGTGGCCATTCCTCCCTTTTGCTCTTCTTGTTTTTGCTGTTCTGCCCCATGTTTGCCCTCTGCCATGTGCCACTCCGCCTGGAAGCCAGCCAAGTATGGACTGAAACCTCCACAAACTGTAAGCTAAATAAACCTTTCCTCCCTTAATTTTGGACGTTAGGTATTTTGTCTCAGCAACGAGAGAAAAGTAACCAAGACACCACCTACCTGTAAAATAGTTCTATGTAACACTTAGATATGTTTTGCCTTTTAAAACATGTCTTTTTTTCCCACTTTACTAGAGATTAAACCCAGGGCACTGTGCATGCCAGTCAAGTGCTCTACCACTGAGTACCTCCAGGCTTTTTGAGGGACCGTCTCACTAAATTGCAATCTTTCTGCCTTAGCCTCTGCGTAGCTGGGATTACAGGCATGGGCCACCACACCCAGCTTAATTTGTAATTATTAAAGAATGTTTCCCAGCTTCTCTGTGCTTAAACCAGTTAGCACATAAAAATATATTTTCACCTAGTCACTCTTTCAAGTACTGAGCAGGTACTGTCAACATCCTAGGAATACAACGCCAAATGAGAACATGGTCCTTTCCTTTAAGAAACTTACCTAATGGAGGTGACGGCTGAACAAAGAATTACAAAGAACTGTCTCTGCAAAAAACTTAACAGGATGCTCTGACAGCATGACTCAGGGGCTCCCAAACTGGCAAATGGCTGGGAGTTCAAGAGTATCACAGATTTCTGAAATGATGGATAAACTGAAATTTTAAGGATTGTCAGAAGCACAGAGGAAGGTGTTGGTGTAGAAACTATCAAGTGTCCTAGGAAAGGTCTAGAAGTGAGAAAGAACTTGACCTGTTCAGGAAAGAAGAGAAACCAACAGGCTATAGCTTCAGTTTGAAAACAGGAGAACAGGGACCAGCTAAGAAGCTTAGATAAAAGCAGAGGCAAGCTCACAAGTCTCTGTCATAAATTGAGGAGTTTGGACTTGATTTTAACAGTAAGGAAAGCTGCTGAAGAGGTTTCAAGCAACAGTGGTAAGAGATAAAATCTGTCTCAATCACCTCTTAAGTAAATGGTTAAGTCAGAAGAGCACTTTGAATTACAGGGGTCCAAAAAACAGTACTGAATTATGAAGAGGTCATATTCTATAGTCTGAAGTCTAAGAGAATTTTTAAATAAGCATTTTTGCCTTCAAAACACTGTAGGAGTCCATTAGCCTCATCAAATGGAAGCCCTCAACAACAGTCTTTTATTCCAGATGAGTACAGAATTATCCATTAAACTTAAGATGGAAATAGTAATCTATGACAGAAAAAAAAGTACAAAGACAGTTTGACTTCACAGTATTTCACATCAGAATACAAATTTTAAGTCTTAACCATATATTAACATCGTAAGTCAACCTCAGGATTTCAGTATTGGGAGGGATGTTAAAGATCATTTGTCCCAACATCTTTTTATACATGAAGACGGGGCATTTCTTTAGAGAATAATCAACAATAAGCAATTATTTAAGATCTGGATTCTTTCTGCAGTATTTTGGCATTAATCGTAACAATAACTGACTTTTCACAATGAATGAGAAATATGTATGTAAATACCCAGATATTTAATTATCAACACTGTCAGCCTCAAAAATGGCTTCCAATGGTCCTGACTGTTGGTATTCACATCTTTGTGTAGACTTCTCACTTCTCGATACAGTACCAGTCTGTGGGTTTTGAGCTCTCCTTTCGATATTTCACCCAGGAAGAAGTCAGCCTGCTATGAGACTACACCGACCGTGGACTCAGTCTAACGCCTAGTTCCATGGCTCTCTGGAGAAGCCTGGGTGATAAGGAACTGAAGTCTTCCACCAACCACCAGTGAGGAACTGCGGTCCTTCTGCTGGTAATGTGAATTAACGAGGAAGCAGATTCTCCAGGCCCAGCTGAGCTACCACGGGATGACTGTAGTCTTAATCACAGCCTGGGAAGAATTTTATGAAAAACTTTAGCCAGAAATGCTCAGCTAAGCAACTCCTCCATTCCTGACCCTCAAAATCAGTGTGAAATAACATAGGCTTGTTGTTTCAAAGGGCTAAATTTTGGTGTAATTTGTCATGCAGTAAGAGAACAGACATGACACAATATGTTGACAAACTATGCATTTGTTGTTTAGGTAATTCTTCTCCAAACAGTGAAATACACCTTGACTTTAAACTACAACTAGCGATCTTCTTCTTTGAAAAGAGATGATTATATAGTTTACCCAACAGGTAATGGGATAGTGAACAGTAATTTATAAGTTGCTGATTCTAATGTAACTGAGTTCTTGGCACTCAGACGTTGTTAAAACTGAAATCTGTGTACAAATCATAATTGGTCATGTCTCTATGTTCCCATTTTAGTAAAAAAAAGTCTCCATTTTTTTTTTTTTTTTTTTTTGGTTTTTCTCCGGTACCGGGAACTGAACTCACGACCTTGCGCTTGCCAGGCAGGCGCTTTTTGCCACTGAGCTAAATCCCCAGCCCAAAAAAAGTCTCCATATAAAAATATGAATTTAAAGCTATCAAGTTCTTCTTAGTTCTGAGTAGGATATATGAGAGAAACAAGACCACCAGGTGATAGCGTGACCCTGTGTAATTGAGTAAAACCTTCATAGTGCTATCCTTTAAAGGACAACATTCAGGTAAGCAAGGACAGCAGTTGAAGCAATACTGACTTTTCAAGTTTCGTCTTTTCTTTGTAGTCTGGATCCAATTATTCACTCAACATTCCATCAGAAAATATTTATTGAGCCTTTTCTACAACCCAGATACAAAGATAGAATAAAAAACTAGATAGACAAGTCTCCAGCCTCTTGGAGTGGTAAAAATTAAGCAATTACAACATAGTGACAATTACGAGGGAAGGAAATGTAGAGTCCAGTGCAAGTACCAGGCGGGGTTCCTATCCCAGCACAGTGGTGGGGAGGGATATGGGACAGACTCCAGAAAAAGCTTTTTGTAACTTACAAGCAAGTTTAATGTTAAGGCATCAGAAGATATTTCAGGCAAAAAGAACTCCCCGGACAAAGGGCCAGAGGCAAGCAAGTTGCATTTGGAAGCTCAGATGTTCAGGATGGCTTCTCTATAATGAAGGCAGGCATGAGGACAGCCCCAGGGAAATGCAGTCCAAAGATGGGCACAATTCCTTTTCAGCCCAATGGATATAGGGAAGAATTCTGAAAACGAACATATCTTTAGGCCTTGATGTGCTATATCATTTCTGAGAACGTTTATATACATAACACAGTATATCACATCGTTGTCATCTAAAAGATGACATACACAGTGGCAAGAACTCTGAGGTTAAAAATCGTGCTTTGAATTTCAGTATAAGAACAATCTCAAGCAGGATAAAGGTTGGATGAAATAAATGTAAAGTATCTTGTACACATAAGGAGGTCAAAACTTTTCCTTTCTCCTGATTACCTTGCTTCCAAGGCCAGGTGGCTTCTGAACTGAAAGCCCCATGTTATATATGATTCCACATCTGGTGGAGTCCGGTGTGTTTCTCTTGGCCATTTCCTATGTCCCTCCTGTTAGGTAACAGTCCCTACGCTCTTCCCCAGTGAACACTATCCTAGGTTAGACATGCCAGAATGATCCCTGCCTAACTAATCGCTGTCACACAATAGTAAGTATAGCATTTATAAACAAGAATTACATCCATACACATGGGGACTTAGTCCACCACACTACCTGTACTTTATATTTGCATATATACTTGGCCTCAATGAACTCTTTTGGTTATATTATGAAGTCTTATAATCATTATTTGGAGGATGAGAGCCCTAGGCTAGGATGGCATAAGTGTCACTTGCTCTGATCTGAGTTTTAACCGTAGCATCTTATTTTCTAAAGAGTTCTGTCAACTCTACAAAGGCTGCCTCCAAGCTTGTGTAATAAAAGGCACAAATTCTAAAGTACACTTTCAGTTTCTTTTACACATTGTTAGAACTCAGAGAAACATGCTTTTACAAACATATAAATTTCTCATGTTGTGGCGTTTGACACATATTTCAAGGTCTCTATGTGCAAAACTACAGGTGGAGAGGGGGGCCGAATTTCCGAAGTCTATCAGAAAAAAACACTCCAATCTCTTTAGGGGCAAGAACGCTTCTCTATTTGCATACTTGCCCTGCTATACTCAGAACAGTAAAAATTAACAGTAAAAATAGCTTCCTATTTTCTTAGTAATGAAAAACTGCCTCTCTGACTGTGAAAATCAGTCCACACATGTAAGGTTTCATTACCCAGGTGGATTTAAATAACCAGATTTTACTTGTTTTAAAGTAAAAAAAACCTGGGCGACATGAGGAATACTGGGAAAAAGATAAACTTTGACCATCCTAAAACTTTAGAATAAAATTCTGAACACTGTTTAACTTAAATCAGGCCGTTTAGAGTATGGTACACTGATAATGTAAGCACACACACTCTGATATAAAGTGATCGACATCTTTGTCGGGAAATAACGGGCACAATATTTGGCGGGGTTGGGGGGGGTAGGACTGGCCAAGCATCTGGCAACATCCTTTCCTGTGTGAGGTCTCACAGGCAGACAAGGAATCTCCCTTAAGCGGCAAAAATCAGGTCTGTGGTTAGAAGCCATGGGGGAGTGCTGTAACCAGCCGAAATCCCCGTTCCTCCGAGTAGAAACTCATCAGTCCAAGAACAAGAACGGTATCGCTCATCCGCAGGAGGCACTGGCTTTCTTCTAATTAGCTGAAGAGAAAGGGCAGCACGGGCTTTCCCAGTGAGCTCCTCCAATCCCCTGATATTTGCACATCTCACCCGGGCCTTTCCATTACAAATTCACTTCCTTAAGGAACAGTAAGAAGCAAGATCAATAATAATAATAAATCCTTCTAGCTATAAATCAGCCACGTGGAGCTGCTGCTGCGGCAGCAGCAGCCCTGACTTCCTGGTTTGCTTCCTGCGAGCCTCTGGGCGCGCTCCGGCAGCGGGGGCCGCGGGGCTCCCGCGCGAAGGGCAGGAGGAGGGGGGGGTCCACGATTACCGTAAAAGTTTGGGAATGGAGACGCTTTCAGGAGCTGAGCTGTAGGGCAAAGGCTCAGTATTAAGTTAGTCCCAAGCTCACGAGCGCGAAGAGGGATCGCGGGGTCGGCGGCGGAGAGGGGACTGCGGATCTGGCAGGGGCGGGGGGCGAGCAGGCTCGGGGGAGGCGCCCCGTGGGCCGGGGCTCTGCCGAGGCCGCCGGGCTGGAGGGGGCGCAGGAAGGGCCCG